CGTCGACGTCGTCGTCGTCATCACCATCGTTATCATCATCAGCATCATCATCATCAGCAGCAGCATCATCATCAACATCATCATAATCATCGACATCATCGTCATCATCGTCAATCCCCTCGTCCTCCTCCTCCTCGTCATCTATCGTCGTCATGATCATCAGCAGCATCAGCATCACCACCACCACCACCACCACCACCATCACCTGCAGGACTTTTGTGCACCCTTCCAGGGCGCCCCCCACCTCTCGGGGCCGCACCCCAGGCCTTCGCCGCGCGCACCGCCGCCCCGTCTCTCCGAGGCAGCCCCTCGCGAGATGCTTGCAGGGGCCCACAAACACACAAGTAAATACACACTAATAAAAGGATTCCCCATATTTTCCTATATTTTCTGGGTTTTTGTCTTCCCCCCCACTTCCCATATTTTCATATATTTTCTGGGGAATCGACGATTAATTGTGTCTGTGTGTTTTTTCCCCCCCCTGAATGCTGCAGATTCACGCTCCCGAGGCCCGGATGCCTCTACGACGGCCCAATATCGATCCGAGACGGGCCGCTTCGGCAGCAGGACGGCGCAGGAGGGCTCCCGGTCGGCCCACGAGCTCGTCGCGGCGTCCCAAGAGAGCCCCGAGGGCCTTCCCTGGAGAGCCCCGAGAGGCAAAAAAGTCATAGACGTGCCCCTCATATTTCAACATGTTCGAGCTTCCGACACTCCAAGCCGACCCACGAGGCCATCAGGACCGCCCCAAGACGGCGCACGAGGCCCCTGAGATGGCCCCAAGACGAACCCAAGAGGGCTCCGAGACGGCCCCAGGGGCGCCCAAGAATGCCTAGGAGGGCCCCTAAGACGGCCCCGAAAAGGACCAAAGAGGGTAAACAAGAAGCGACAGTTCATGTCTTCCGCCCCAAGAGGGTCCCAAGATGGTCAAAAGAGGCCCCCGAGAGGCCTCCATGAGGCCTCCCAGAGGGCCCCGAGAGGCAAAAACCATTGGTATTCCATAGATCTTTCTTTTTTTGCTTGTCTCGCCTTTACGAGCGTCGCTCCAAAGACGCCCCAAGAGGCCCCAAGAGACCCCCCCCCGAGTCAGCTCAAGAGGCCCCCGAGAGAGCTCCAAGACGGACCAAGAGGGCTCCAAGACGGCCACAAGAGGCGCCCAGCACTGCCCCAGAGGGCCCCGAGAGGGCCCCATACGAAGGGCCCAAGAGCGGGAACACGAAGCTGGAGTTTGGGCCGCCTGCCCCGAGAGCCCCCCCAGCAGGCCCCACTTGCCTTCTCGAACTTTTTGCTGGTCTGCGGGTCGAGAGCGAGCCTCTTCCGGTTGAGAGCTAGACGGGCCGGGCAAAACACTAATTTTGCCTTCTCGAACAGCTGCCGCCCAAACTGCTGCGCTGGCACAGTCACGGAACTGCCAGGGGCAGCATCCTCCGTCCCCAATCTCCAGCCTCCCCTCCCCCATCTCCAACCGCACATCCAACCGCCCATCCGACAGTCCATCCGTCCACCCACCCATCCGTCCATCCACCCATGTCATCATCCATCCATCCATCCGTCCATCCGTCCGTCCGTCCGTCCGTGTCCTCCATCCAGTCATCATCCACCCATGTCATCATCCACCTCCAACCCTCCCTCCATCCATCCGTCCGTCCGTCCGTCCGTCCGTCCGTCCGTCCACGTCATCGTCGTGGTCCGGTGTCACCGCGCCTGCCGAGTCTCTCGGGCCTCCGCGGGCCTGCGGGGGGACCGCGCGGCGCAGCTGTTTTGCCTTCGCGCCCCCGAGCGGGGAGGCGCGAAACGCGCACGGGCCGCAACGGCAGCTCCGAGCCAACGGATATCATCACGCACGCGACAAAGCAAACTCGCAAGCTTGCACGTCCTCATCAACGGCAGCAGCAGCATAAGAAGAAGCAGATTCATCACCATCCAATGTCACACCAATCATCACCTTGATCAGAATCAGAATCATCATAGTCACCACCACCACCACCACCACCACCACCATCATCATCATCATCATCATCATCATCATCATCATCATCATCATCATCATCATCATCATCATCATCATCATCATCATCGTCATCGTCATCGTCATCGTCATCATCATCAATCATCATCTTCGACTTCATCATCACCAGCATCATCGCCATCATCATCGTCATCTTCATCATCGTCAATAACATCATCACCCTCACCATCACCAGCATCACAATCGTCATCAACATTATCATCAGAATCATCATCATCATCATCATCATCATCATCATCATCATCATCATCGTCATCACTACCGTCACAACCACAATCATCAGCAGCAGCAGCAGCATCACCATCATCATGATCGTCGTCGTTGTCGTCGTGGTCATTAATCTTCGTCATCGTCGTCGTCATCATCATCACCATCATCATCACCATCATCACCAGCCGATCATCAACAACATCACCATCACCACCAACATAAACATCAACATCACCACCAATCCCTGCCCGCCCCCGCCGCATCCTCCTCCCCCAGCTCCGCACTCCCCTCCTCCTCCCACCAACTCGGTCATCCTCCCTCGAGGGAGGCGAAGGAGGGGAGGGGAAGGGGAGAGGGGCTCGATCGACGAGCGCAACGAAGGCCTCCTAGAGAGAAATGGATATGCGATGCACGGGCACCTTCGTGACCGCGCGGCATCCGGTGGCATTCCCGCCCCTGCAAAGAGCACTGGGATTAGGTCGGGCATGTCCCCCTACAGGCGGATTTTGGACGAAAAATATAAAATACTCAAAACGTGTTCAAAAATAGTCCAAAAATATTCAAAAAATCGTCCACGGAGTATTTTCCGACTATCTTTGAATATTCCTCCTGCAGAGCGACACGCACGACTTCAAACTGGGAGCCGATTGTGGACGCGCGCGCGCGCTCGTCAGCGAGATATCGGCAGGGTGGGGCGAAGATGATCAGATGCAGGAAGAAGCGGGCGAGGACGGCGGGGTGGAGGCCCCGGGCGTAGACGGCGGGGTGGAGGAGGCTGCGAGGCGACGAACGAGGACAGGCTGCAGCGGCCCGCCACTCCCCTCGCGCAGAGGAGGAGCAGAGAGTCTGGTCAAGCGCTGCCAGGAGGGGCGTTCACGCCGCAGGGTGGCCCTCACCCCAGGTGAGATTGAAGAGGCCCCAGGACACACAAATAAATACACAAAAAAAAGATTCCCCATATTTTCCCATATCTTCTGGGTTTTTGTCTTCCCCCCACTTCCCATATTTTCTTATATTTTCTGGGGAATCGACGATTAATTGTGTCTGTGTGTTTCTTCCCCTCCTGAGAGACGAAGCCAAACCCAGGGCAAAATCGAACCAGGTCAGATCGGCGATCTCTGAGATCCGGCGGTTCCGCGCGCCGCGGCCGTTCCGGAGCGCTGTGGAACGCTCCGAGAGCGTTCTGGAGTGCTCCAGAACGATAAATAGAGGTGGCGACATCCGAGCCTTGCCCCCACCGACCCTTGATTCTCCGGAGTCGAGGCGGGAGAGTAGGGTTCGGACTTCGCCACTGGCTCGACGAACTCCGAGCGCTGCCCCTGCCGCCCATGGAATTGCCTGGATGAACCGGGCTCGGACTCCGCCGCCGAATTCACGATGACCTGTCCCAGTCCTAGCCCCGTCCGACGCGATCTTCCAGAGAGGCCTAAGAGGGGCAGCTGGGGCCGAGGGACGGGCGGAACAGGACGGGAGCACCTGGGTCCAGGCACGCAACTCCTGGCCGCCGGAACTCCCCCTTCCCCGCGAGGGGAGGGCCCCAGAAGCCCGTGGAGGTCCTCAGAAGGCTCCAGAGCGCACAGAACGTCGACGAAGCTCCATCCTCCACCCTGCTAAGACGAGCAGATAACTGCGTAAACATACAACAAGTTTTTGGAACTCCACGCCGATTTCGAGGATCGGCGCTGGAGCCCCCCCATGGCGCGCGGAGCGCGCCAGGGGCTGCGCCGGAAGCGACGCCCGCCAGGCCAAGCCGGAAATCCGCGCGGAGTTCCGAAAGGGTATGTATATACAGTTGGCTTCTGTTTCGACGAATCCCTCCTCGTCCTCCTGAAGGTAGGGCTGGCGCCGGGACTCTTCTTGCGCCATCATCACCGCCTTGATCGCCTTCTCGTTGAACCGCTCAAACCTGCAAGCAACGAGCGGCCCTGTCCGTTCCCGGTCGTCCGCGCCCCGCTGCTCCTTCCTGCTGCCCTTCCTAAGTCACCTGGCTCTGCGTTTCGTACTGAACCCGTCGCGAGGCGTAGTCACCTTCGCGCTGTCGCGCCGCAACCCTGGAGAAGGACACCAGCACGCAAAGCGCGAATCGCGGCTACCTTCGCGCAGTTGCGGGGCGACCTATCCCCCTCTTCCCCAACAGGCGCACAAAGAGGTGCACCAGCAGGAAGAGGAACTCAGGAGCAGCGGCAGCAGCAGAAAGAGCAGCAGCAGGTGCAGGAGCGGGAGCAGAAGGAGCAGGAGCAGCAGGAGCAGGAGCAGCAGCAGGCGTAGCAGAAGCAGGAGAAGCACGACTGGGAGCAGGAGGAGGAGGAGCAGCAGGACGACAACAATGCTGATGATGGTGATGATGATGGTGATGGTGATGATGATGGTAGTGGTTGTGGTGAGGTGATGATGATGATGACGATGGTGATGATGATGATGGTTTATGATGATGATGGTGATGATGATCATGATGATGATGATGATGATGATGAAGATGACGATAATGATGATGGAGAAAGAGAAGAAAATGAAGATGATAAGGTTGGCGATGATGACGACGACGACGGTGATGACGATTGCGATGACGATGGCGATGATGATGAAGGTGGTGATGATGATCACCACGACGATAATGGCAATGAGGATGATGTTAACGGTTCATGATGTTGACGATTCGTGATGACGACGCTGATCCCATGAAACTTAGACGGACTAGCGCTCTAGATCGATAGCCGCCCAGATACGAACACTTCCCTCGGCGCATCGCGCGCAGCGTCAGGCCGTGTCCATATGGCACCAGCGAGAGCCTGCACTGCCACAAATTAGATTGCGCCTGCCATATCAGCCGCGGCCAACTGCCGCAGCGTGACAAAAACAACTCGCCAGAACAACACAGCGTAAGATACGCCTCGGGGCCCGAGTGCGAACACTAGCTCAACCGAGAAGGCCGCACACACCCAAGAGGCGTTGCAAAACAGCTAACATTGTCACAAGCTGGCGGCAGTAGCGTCCAGCAGAATCAGGCCACGTCGCCGATCCAAGTGCAAGCGAAAGGTGCGGCGAAAGCTAGCCATGCACACAACTCTACCTTCGCATGCGGGCACGGGCCGCCTCCCAAAGCCTCGAGTCTGAGGCTGCACGTGGGGGCACCTTGCCCGCCTCGATCTCGTCCTTGAGCCTGCCCACCTCCGCGTCGAAGGCCGCGCGCCGTGCCCCAGCCGAAGCTTCCTCGGCTGCGCGCTGGGACCACAGCGCCAAGGCCAGGCGCCCCTCGAGAGCCTTCACCACCCCGCCAAATGCCCCATCCTCCTCCTCCTCCTCCTCCTCCTCCTCCGCCTCCTCCTCCCCCTCCCCCTCCCCCTCCCCCTCCCCCTCCTCCCCCTCCTCCCCCTCCTCCCCCTCGGCACCCAGGGCAACCTTCAGCACGTCGCCCACGCCGCCGGCGCCGTCGGAGGCGACCGCAGCCGCCCGGGCGTGCCTGAGAGCATCGAGGACGGGGCCGCTCTCTGCCGGGACCAGTCGCTGAAGCCCTTCGCTGGGTTGCTCCGCGGCGCGCGACTGTGATCTTGAGCCGTGGGGTCGGGCTGCTGGTGCCCGTCGTGACGCTCAAGGTCGGCAACGCCCTTTCGGTCCTATCTCCTGACCTCCCCTCTCCAGCCCCCTCCTCCTCCTCCTCCTCCTCCTCCTCCTCCTCCTCCTCCTCCTCCTCATCATCATCATCATCATCATCATCATCATCATCATCAATCACCACCACCACCACCACCACCACCATCATCATCATCATCAGCATCATCAGCATCATCATCCCCCTGATCAGCATCATCAGCAGCATCAGCATCATCATCATCAGCAGCAGCATCATCACAATCATCACCAACAGCATCATCATCACCATCAGGACAACCCTCGCCATCATCATCATTACCATCAGTTTCATCATCACCATCATCATCATCATCATCCTCATCACCATCATCATCAGCAGCATCACCACCATCATCATCATCAGCAGCAGCATCAGCATCATCATCATCATCATCATCATCAGCATCAGCATCATCATCATCATCATCATCATCATCATCATCATCATGATCATCATCATCCTCATCATCGCCATCATCATCATCATCATCATCATCCTCTCCATCAACATCACCAGTATCACCGTCAGCATCAGCATCAGCATCATCAACAGCAAGAGCATCACCATCACCATCGTCATCATCAGCATCAGCATCATCATCAGCATCACCATCATCATCGATATCAGCAGCATCACCATCATCATCAGCATCAGCATCATCATCATCAGCATCAGCATCAGCATCAGCATCATCATCATCATCATCATCATCATCATCATCATCATCATCATAATCAGCATAATCATCATCATCACCGGCCGTCGGGCTACGCTCGGGCTCAAGCTAGGTGTCGGGCACGACTGTGACAAAGGGCCCCGCCTCCTTCGCCTCGTCCCCGTCGAACCGCCCCGCCAACGCCGCGGCGGCTCTCCACCCTCGCGTGCACGAGTCGACGAGGGCCACGATGGGCTGGCCAGCACTGCAGACGCGCTCCGAGAGCGCGAGACGGACGCCAGCAGGCAGGGCGTGCCCGCGCCTGCGAACGACCGCCCAGCTGCACGCATTGCGTCGCAGGCCGCGCGCGCCTCAGGCAGCAGCCGAGGGTGCGGGCCCGGCGCCGCGGGCTGCCACTGGCGCCGCGCGCGCCTAAGACGGACGGCGGCGCCCAGCGGCAGGCTGAGGCCGCGCCCCCCGCTGGACGCAGCTGAGCTCCATGCCCTCCGCCTTCGCAAATCACGCCGACGGGCGTGTGACACGCGCGCGCGGCAGCGATGCACCTCCGCACGCCAGGTGTGCCCACCTGGGGGGCGCGCTCGCCGCTCTGTGCCTCGGCGGCCGGGCCAGCCGCGAGCACGGGGTCCTCTCCAGCACCGGCCGCTCCGTGAGCTCCGCGCGGGAGCCCCCGACCTCGCGCTCGCCCACGCGCGCGGCGGCCTGCTGGGACAACCGCCTGCAGCGCCGCAGCCTGGTGTACAGACTGGGCCGTCGCGAGCTTCGCCTCCAAGCTCCCGACCTGCCGCTCTACGTACACTACGCGCTGGGGGGCTGCGTGTAGGCGCCCCGCGGACGCCGTCCACGCCGCGCCTTGCCTGACGCGCCTGCAGGCGCAGCGTCGTGAGGCTGCTCCGCCGCCAAAGGGGCCCCTGCGGCCGGCCGCAGCCATTGCCACTGCCGCACAGGAGGGGAAGGAGACTGAGCCGCTCACTCCTACGAGGGAGGAAGACACGCCGCGTACATCGCCCGTATGGCGCCCAGGGCAGGCTTGAACCAGAATGGCTACGGATGATGATGATGATGATGATGATGATGATGATGATGATGATGATGATGATGATGATGATGATGATGATGATGATGATGATGAGGAGGATGATACTTATGATGATGATGCTGATGATGATGCTAATGGTGGTGATGATGGTGATGGTGATGATGATGGTGGTGTAATGGTGGTGATGATGGTGATGGTGATGATGATGGTGGTAATGGTGGTGGTGATGATGGTGATGAAGCCGATGATGATGGTGATAATGATGGTAATGATGATGGTGATGATGGCGATGCTGACGATCATGATGAAGATGCTGACGCTGATGATGATGATGATGATGATTGCGATGATGATCATTGATCATGATGATGGTGATGGTGGTGGTCATGGTGATGGTGATGGTGATGGTGATGGTGGTGATGGTGGTGATGAGGTGGTGGTGATGGTGATGGTTATGATGATGGCGATGGTTATGGTGATACTGATGGAGATGATGGCAGCAATGATAGTGTGATGATGATGATTGTGGTGATGATGATGATAATGAAGGTGGTCGTGATGATGATGGTGGAAGTGGTGAGGATGATGATGATGATGATGATGGTGATGATGATGATGATAGTGTTGATGGTGATGATGATGATCATCATCAACAGAATAAGCATGATGATGGTGATGGTTATGGTGATGGTGGCGATGGTAACGATGGTGATGATGATGTCGACGATGATGATGAGGAGGATGAGGAGGAGGATGAGGATGAGGATGATGATGATGATGATGGTGATGATGGTGATGACAAAGGTGATGATGATGGTGCTATGATGACGATGATTCCCTCAGCTGCAATATCTGGTGCTCATTGTCATTGTATACAGCTCGCAGCGCCGTGAATCGTTCAACGGACAGGCGAGCTCGGGCGTCAACAGCTCGTCAAGCAGCGGACGCGGAGCAGCCAGCATCGAATCAGGAAGCCGGATCAAGTAGGAGTTTGTGGGAAAAAAACACACTGTGGGAAAAAAAAAAAAAAAAAACAAAAAAAAAAAAAAAAAAAAAAAACTGTGGGAAAAAAAACACACAATGTTTTTTCCCACAGTGTTTTTTCCCACAGACTGTGTGTTTTCTCCCACAGTGTGTTTTTCCCACAGAACATCGAATCAGCAATCGGCACGGAGTCGGAATCGAATCGAATCGGCTGCCCCAGGATGCACGGCAACTCCACGTAAGCAACGGGCCGCATCGGATCGCGCGAAAATTGGAGTCGAATCGGGTCGGGCCGGCCGAAATCGATATCGAAAGGGATCCATCGCATCGAAGTTGACCCTGCGAGGGCCCCGCGTAGGTCGAAAACTGACAAACCTTCCTTCGGGATTTCTCACGTCACGAGATCTGGCGTTCGGGCCATCACTCGGGCCTCCGGCGGCAACTCCTGACGATCTGGGCGCCTGGGGCACGCACTCGGCAAGGCGCAGCTGCTGGAAGGCGTCCCGAGGAACTGGGAAACCTTCTGGGAGGCGACGAGAATGTTCGAGAACCTCGGGTGGACCCTGCGAGGGACCCCCGGAGCACCCCCTCTCAGACGATGTCAAAAACGCTGCGGGCATTTTCCGATTTTGGGCCCGTTCTTCTGCTGCCGTCCTGGGATTCTGGTTCGCGCAGTTTGCGGTTCGGTTCCAGGTTATACTGGCGTTGTTGATCATGCTTGGGATGCCGTTTCTGTCTTCTGCTTTGGTTGGACAAGAACCGAAAAAAATATCCCAGTGCGACCCAACCTAGGAGTTGGAGCCCCTAGGAAAGCAGCATTAGTAGTAACAGTACAGCTAAGCTAAAGCTAAGCTAAAGCTAAGCTAAAGCTAAGCTAAAGCTAAGCTAAAGCTAAGCTAAAGCTAAGCTGAAGCTAAGCTGAAGCTAAGCCGAAGCTAAGCTAAAGCTAAGCTAAAGCTAAGCTAAAGCTAAGCTAAAGCTAAGCTACAGCTAAGCTGAAGCTAAGCTAAAGCTAAGCCAAAGCTAAGCTAAAGCTAAGCTGAAGCTAAGCTAAAGCCAAGCTAAAGCCAAGCTAAAGCCAAGCTAAAGCTAAGCTAAAGCTAAGCTAAAGCTAAGCTTAAGCTAAGCTAGAGCTAAAGCTAAGCTAAAGCTAAGCTAAAGCTAAGTTAAAGCTAAGCTAAAGCTAAAGCTAAGCTAAAGCTAAAGCTAAAGCTCCCAGGGGACTGGGGGAACCGCGGGGCGGATCCTGGGGGAACCCCCTGGGGCGGGGAGCACTGCCCGGCCCTTCTAGCATACAGGGTAAGAACCCTTCTAGGCAGAGCCTAGGTAGGGAACAAAAAAAAAAACGACACCAAGAAAACGCCCCAAGCGTTTCTAGCATCATCTGAGCCCCGGAGCCCGATTCGACGATCGAAATGAATCGGATCGGCGGAGATCGGCGGCCACGTCGGGAGAAGTCGAATCGGCGGAAAATGGGCGGGCCAGTAAGGCCTCCATGGAGAAACCGACATCAAATCGAATCGGGGATGGACAGACCCCCCTTTAGTAAAACGTGGTTTAGTGCAAACGACCTGAGACCCAAACCTGGCGGGCGCAAGCCTGGAGAATAACGGCCACGGCGCCCTCTCGAGAAACGAAAACGGACAATTCACTAATCGACGTGTCACTGTTGGGGGTTCTGTCCACCCCCGATCGAATCAGGACCAAAAATCGATCCGAATCGAATCGAGTCAGAGGAATTGCAAGTGTTCTTCTGGAGCCCCCCCGCCCAGCAGGATGAGGCCCCCGCAGCACGCGGGCAGCGGCGGCGCCGACGCGGCCGCCCCGACGCCGAACGCGCCGGCGGTAACGACGACGACGACGACGACGACGACGACGACGACGACGACGTCAATGTGGGTGCCATGGTCGACGTCGGCGACGAGGCCGACGACGCCGACGACCACGACGGCGGCGACGCCGACGCCGGCCACGACGCCGGCCACGACGCCGGCGGCCGCGCGCGGGGGCCGAGGCCCGCGCATCATCGACATGGACGAGGCGCCGCAGCCGGAGCTGCTGCCTGTCGCGCGGGGGGCGGGCGGGGGTGGGCCGCCGCCCGCGGGGGAGGGGGCCCAGGGAGGGGGGGAGGGAGCCCAGGGAGGGGGGGAGGGAGCGAAGGGGGGGGGCGAGGGCGAAGGGGGGCCGGGTTGAGGTCGGGCATGTCCTCCTGCAGGCGGGTTTTGGACGAAAACTTGCAAAAACAAAAAACAAAAAAAAGAGAGAGAGAGAGAGAGAACACAAAAAAAACAAAAACAAAACAAAAACAAAAACAAAAAAAAGGCTCCAAAGAGTCGAAGCCGGCCAGGTTGAGGTCAGGTTGAGGTCGGGCATGTCATCAGGAAGCTGGGCGAGGGCTGCTAAAACCGTGGCCGCTAAAGCGGCCCTCCCGGAAGGAAAGAACAACTTCCCGGAATGAGGCGCGGCACGCGAAACAGTCAGCGGGCTTCTTCCCGGAAGGACGAAGACAACTTCCCGGAGGTCGACTTTAGCAGCCACGGATTTAGCAGCCCTTGCCCGGCTTCCGAGTCCTCCTGCAGGCGGATTTTGGACGAAAACTTTAAAAAAAAGGCTCCAAATAGTCGAAGCGGGCTGTGCTTCACCATGTTTGAACAGTCCTCCTGCAGAGGGGCACACGCCGATTTCAGGCAAGATGCATGTCCACACCCGCTGCGTCGGAGAGTTTCAGGGAAGGGGCGCCAGAAGGCGGAGGCGCAGCGGATAGGGACAAAGATCGAGCCTCTAGAGGCCAGATTGAAGGGGCCCTCGGACACACAAATAAATACACACAAATAAAAGGATTCCCATATTTTCCCATATTTCCCTGGGAATCGACGTTTAATTGTGTCTGTGTGTTTTTCCCCTCCTGACAGATGTTTGATCCAGATCCACTGTGCCTCGGGTTTCTGGGGGAGGGAGCCCAGAACTCCAAGACGCAACGGATACGGACACCAATCTTGCCCACAAACGAAGGGGGAAGGTCAGGGTCGGGATCAGTCAGCATCGATTCGGTATAGATCGGATCGAATGTACATGTGTTTCGGATCGGGCTGCACCAGCACGGAATCGAGATCGAGTCGGATCGGCTGCGCCAGGATGCACAACAACGCCATGCAAGCATCGGGCCGCATCGGATCGTCGGAATGTCGGAATCGAATCGGGTCGCGATGGCCCGAATCGACATCGAGTCGGATCGATCGGATCGAGGTGGACCCTGCAGGGTTCGAGCTTCGAGCTCCGATGCTAGTGGACGTTTCGATCAGTTCCCGGCGGCCTTCCAGCCTCGGGGTGCTCTCCAGCAGCTGCGCCTCGCCGAGCGTTCTGGGGGGGCCCAGATTGCCCCGAACGGCCGACGGGGAGCCGAGGCATGACCCGGCATCGAAGGGGCAACGTCAGGGGGGGGGGGGCCGGCTCAGGGGAGGAGGCCTCGGACTGGAAGCGGCGATGCGCCCGCCGATGGCTCGGCGACGCGCCCCCGATGGCGGCACCGCAGGGCCCTGGGCGGGGCGAGCTCCCGGGCCCCCCATCGGCGATGAGCGGGCGATGGGTGGCCGATGCGGCCCTCCCCCCCGGAGCCTCCTCGCCCCCTGGCGCTGCACCCGGACCGACGCGCGTCGTGACGACCCGGACACCCGCACAGCGGGCCCGCGTCGTGAGGATGCAGGGGCCCTGGGACACACAAATAAATACACACAGATAAAAGGATCTCCCCCATATTTTCCCATATCTTCTGGGTTCCTGTCTTCGCCCCCAATTC